TCAACTTCAGTCCTTCATGCCAGACTTTATCAAATGCTTTTGATACATATCTTAGAATTATATTACATTGGTCTCTGTTGCTTGCAGCATTTGCAATTGATTCGTATATTAGTGCTATTGCTGTGTTGGTTCCGCGATTTTTCCGAAAGCCTTGCTGTCTCGGGTTATATTTGTTTTCTTGGTCTAGATAATTTCTGAGTCTGTGGTTGACTATTTTTTCCAATATTTTACTGGGTGTTTCCAGTAGTGAGATAGGTCTGTAGTTCTCTGCTTGGGTATGGTTCTTGCCTACTTTCGGAATGAATCTGATTTTGGCTATTTTAAATTTGGTAGAGAAGAAGCCAGTTGCAAGTGAGGCATTATATATATATTTTTAAGCTGTTCGATCATTGACTCAGGAATGTTTTGTAGTACGATTTTATTAATTTGGCTTATGCCAGGTGCTTTGTTCTTAAAGTTTGCTATTGTTTTTTTTTTCAATATTATCTTGGGTTAATGGAGCAATTATTGGGTTATTATTATTTAATGAATTGAGGTTGATTTTTCAAGTGGGTTTCCATTTCTCTGTGTTCTGGCTCAAATATGTTCTAGTTGCCTGTTCTGTTTCTTGGCAGAAGCTTCTATTATCTTCGTCGTTGATTCTGAATATGTCTTTCCAGTATTCTCTAAATATTGGTTCTTTATCGTGTGGTTCTGTTGCCTTTCTTCCGTTTTTGTCCTTTATGTACCTAGCTAGTTTCGTCCGAGTTAGTTACCATTAGGTTTTTTTTTTCGAGAATGCTTTTGGGTTTCTGTAGTCTGCTTGTGTGTCATAGATCAGTTTGTTCCATTTTTTCATTGTATTTGTTCTTGCTTATGACTTTCAGCTCTTCTTTTAAATTCCTGTATAATATTCTGTTGTCATTGCACCACCCGTGTGTTTTTGTGTATTCATATAGATTGGTGAATCTGGTTTGGATCATTTTCTCTTCATATGTTAATTGTGCATGTGGTAATGTACGGTATGTTGTTTTTGGGATGTTGTTTTTCATTGCTGTTATTACTTCATTGTACCATGTATCCAGTGTTTTGTCAATCTCTGTTGTGTCTTTGTTGTGTAGGAGTGTTGGTTCGTTGTTGCTAAGATCCGATTAAAATTTTTCCCAATTTGCCCTATTGAGTGAAAATCTTGGGATTGATGGAATTTGTATCGGGGGTGTGGATAGAGTTGCTATTATGGGTAGATGATCACTGGTTGTTGTGGGTCCAGCTTTTAGATGTACGTTTAGATGGTGATGCCTATTGCTTAAAACAATGTCGGGTTTCCCAGAGTTACCGGCTGATGCGTAAGTTTCGAAGTCGGGCCCGAGGTGTGTTATTGTCCCGTGTTCGATGAGAGCATGGAGGATTTTTCCTCCTGGGTTTCTATTATTGTGTCCTAAGGTTGTGTGTTTAGCTCTGAGGTCTCCTATGAAGTATGCTGGATTGTTTTGCCTCGTTAGTTTTAAGATGTCCCCTGTAGGGAATATTGGCCTTCTGAATGTTAGATATGAGGTTTCAATGGTTATTGGGCCTCTTGTTGTATTTATTTCGGCTGCAAGAAAGTTACTTTGAAAGTTGTCTATGATTTTGTATTGTATGTTGCGTTTTATAACTATTGCTATTCCGTCATGTGGTTCGTCATGTATGTTCATTCGATGTACATGGTAGTTAAAGATCTTGATTTTGTCACTGTTTTTCCGACCATGTGCGTTGATGAGAATGATGTCTGGGTCTATTGTGCTGTATATGTGAATGAGTTCTGTTTTCCTCGCCATGATCCAGGCAAGAACGTTGTGTTGGATTGTCTTTAGTGATTTGTTTTGTAGGGGTATCGAGATATTAATGTTGTCTAGCACTCAGGATGGAAGGAAACTCTAATGTGGTTTTCTTGTATAATATATAAGTTATATGATAGACAGTCTGGTGCTGGAGGTGCTGTGTGGTGAGGGGCTGCTTGGTAGAGACGTGCGGTGAGTAGCTTGTTGAAGGAGGTAGATGTGCAGGAGCTTCGTTAGAGAAGATGTTGCCTGTTGCTGGCCTCCTGGTTGAATGAAATGTTAACAGCGTGGAGCTTGCTGGAGGAGATGTTGCTTGTTCAGGAAAATGGGCAGAATGAGAGTTGGTTGGTGAGGAAGCTCAGAGAAGGACATGCTCGCTGGCGGGAGCGAGGACCGCCAGGCAGGCGGAGGAGAGGCGAGGGTCGCCAGGCAGCGGCAGAGGAGGAGGTGTTGCTTGTTCAAGAAGAATGGTCAGAATGAATCTCAATGGAGAGACAGAGCTTATATACCCAGCAGCCGCTATGAGTCATGGTGGGAAAACCCGAGAAGTCGCCGGTGAATAGTTTCGTTGCTAAGCAACGGCACGTTGGAATGTGATAGCAGGTGGTGGGCTGCTACGCAGTTTGTAGGGGAGACGTCCACTACAGTTTTGTTAAGTCAAGGGTCCCGAGAACTTGGTGCAGGGTGTTTGCTGGCTCGAGTCTATTTCTTTCTTCCTTTAGTCCCGTTGATTAGTCCTGCATTTATCAACGTTTCTATGTAGGATTCTTCAACCCTGACATCTTCGAAGGTAAATTTGACTGTGCCTTCCTTGATTTCGTGCAGAAGTCTATCACTTGATATTATAGGTGGTGTGTTAACTGAGTAGAGATGGATACCGATCTCATGATAATAATAATAATAATAATAATAGTAATAAACGGTTTATTAATAGAGTTGCAGCCGGTGGCTGAAAATATACAGACTTACATTTGATTTAGACATAATGATATAATATGCTTTGAATACATTTACAGGGCTGTACAGTACATAAATCAGGAGTTGTTTAATATTTTAACAATAGATGGGATGGTGCTCTTCTTATATCTATCGGTGCGGGCTCTTATGGGCTGAATTTTGTTGTAGTGGCGGACTGCGCGAGGTGGGTGGGGGGCTGCCGGTGGCAGGAGGTGGCGATGACGAGGGTGGCTCATTAGTTGGCTGCCAAACCTTTCCAGTGCTTGGTGGTAGAGGTCACTGAGGGATGGCATTTCCAGGGTGGAGAGAGCATTGACGTAGCCGGAGTATTCTGCCCCGAGCATGATTCTGCAGGCCCTTTTCTGTACCTTCTCTAGCTGACGCTGTTGGGTGGAGTTGAGAGAAGACGACCAGGCTGGTGACGCATACGTTAGTTTGGGGAGAATAAAAGCGCTGTAGATAGTCCTCAGCTCTGGCGTGGGTGTCCAAAGTGACCTAAGTCATCGTAGCATGTAGAGACGGTATGAGGCTGCCTTGACTGTGTTATTTACATGGGCCTTCCAGTCCAGTTTATTGTCTATCGTTACAGCCAGGAGTTTGGCAGACTGCACCAGCTGGAGAGGATTGGCACCCACTGTGACTGCTGGGGCTTGCACTGGAGTGGTGGCGGTATTGATGCGCATGTCTGCTGTTTTGGTGTCTGCAGTCGCCCTGCACTTCGGTTGGTGAAGATGGGGGCAAGATGGCCAATGTGGGATTCTTTTATTGTTTTCACTTTGGTTGGGTCAACTTTGGCAGTTTGTGCTTTCTCTGTCTGCCGAGTCTGATGATTTGTGGTATGGTGACTGGTTGGATCTATTTCTATCACGTTTTCTTCTGTGACAAGTTTGGTTGCTTGTTTCTATGGATTGGTTATTTCCAGAATATTCTCAGTAAAATTTTGTGATTATTTCTTTTGAAGAACCTTGTTGTAGGATTTCGACTGGATTCTCGTGTCATTCAAAATTCACATTTAAAAATCTATCTATATTCTGTTAAATTTATGTAATTATATACAATCAATATAATTTGGGAGTTTTACATTATTAGATAATATTTATATATATTTTTTAATATTAACAAATACTATGAGATTTATATGAAGTACATTAATACGTAATGTATTAAGCTCTATTCTCTAATAACAGTCACATAACCAAAATAACATCTCTCAAGGTAGTCTGTAAGTTTTCTATGGTGTTGCTAACAGAAAATGATCAGCTCTTTAAAGGGGTAGTTCGTATAATGTATAATGTTTTGTACGCATTATTATACCAGAGTCCGTACATATCGCCTTAAGTGTATATATATATATATATATATATATATATATATATATATATATATATATATATATATATATATATATATATATATATATATATATATATATATATATATATATATATATATATATATAGCTAGTACGAGTCTTATTAAAAATTTGGACAGTGTTCCACTTGCATTAAAAATATAGGGTTTTGTGTTGATTTTAAATGTGAAGTTCATGTTTTGCGGAAATGTTTTATTTGTGACTTGCAGGTCTGTGAAGCAGAAGTGCTGGCCGATCAAGCTTAACGTAAGCTGTATAAATTTTGTACTTTGTGACGCTGGCGCCACAAACTCGCACAGGTACCCATCCAATATTTGGCGATGAGTACTGGCCTGTTTGTTAAGGCGCCCACACACTATCAAATATGTTTGTCAAACAAGGTGTTTGATCATACAATTTGTGAGTGTGTGGACATGTTTGAAGAAGATTAAACAATTTTGATACTTTCTCGTCCAACAGAGACACGACTGACCGCCCAAGCGTATATCAGGCCAGTCAGTAACGAAGAGCCTGAGGATAAAAATGGTGGCCACTAGTTAAATTAAACCTTGAATTAAATATTTGTTTGTCATATATAGTAGTAAGAGTACCATTATTTTCATGAAATTTAATTTATTTAACGACTTTCTCCAATTTTGCAAATTTATTTGTTACAAAAATTCCCACGGGCTTATTTGTTTCCTTTTACCGGTAGTAGGACCCAACAAAGGTTAATCTAATCTAACACAAGCTCATTAACATAAGATTCCACAATTTCTGCAATACATTTTAAAAAACAAAAAAGAAAAGATAGTTTAGCGTACCTTGTTCGTTGTTTATTTTCAACATTAATTGCTGTTCTTCCAGTAAATACGTTGACGTTTATCATTGGTCGCTATTGAGCGAGGCAACCAATGAGAACATCTTAAACCTACTAGCAGTGCGCGCATGGAACCTGAGTCAGGTACCACAACAACACGCAGAGTCTGACAGCTGTGAACCTTCTAACAATGGCAGAAAAAGTTATTGCGGTAAGTATTGTTTATATCATGATACAGTAGCTTTGTTTTTTACAAGGTTTACCGTATATAGGATGATGATGAGGGTGAAAATGTTGTCTACCGAAGAGTAATTAAGAGCTGCCTGGTAAAAGTTTTAAGAAATTTGGTCGAGTTTATTTGTATAGTTATTCGTAGTGGATATTTTGCCGTGTCCTGCTAAATTCCTACTAACACTATTTTACCGTGAGTGCATTCTGATTGGCTAAGTACTTTCTGTTTTATATGATGGGTGTGCGCCCCCCCCCCCCGGCTAGGAAGTTAGGTAAGGTTAGGTAGGTTTCTTTGGTTGGTTAGGTCAGGTTCTGTTAGGTTCTAGTAAATGTCACTCCTTTTAATGATAAGAACATCAGTGAAGGTGTAGAATAACAGCTACCACCATAAGGAATTGGTTGAAAATTTTTCTACACTGTCATATTAAACAAAAATGGAAACGACAATGCATAGAACCTGACCTAACATACCCATAGGTTGGGTATGTTAGGTCAGGTTCTATTAGGTTCTATGCATTATCGTGTTAATTTATGTGTTAAACAATATACCTTGATATTGAGGTTGATATACAGTACACCAGCAATGGCGAGGGGGAATTCGTGGAAGTGTTCACCATCATTTATAGGAAACGTCTCTTGAAGAGGGATTCTGCGAGGTAAACAACAAAAATGGCGCAGTAGGTAGAACACTGTTCATGTAGAAATTTCTTCTCTTCTCCATCTTTACTGTAATAATTGATGTGAAATCTGGCGATGGTTTGGAAGTAACTGAAATCACAACCATTGCACAAGGGAGGCATCTTGGAAATAAATTCATATTCAAACAGGTGGCGGCGGGTGCCTATATCGAGCTGTGATTGCTTGATCCAAAATCTTACCCACCAATCAACGTCCAAAGAACAATTGCGCATGCTTCAGACTCTAGCGCATGCGTAATACAGCTTAGTAACCAACAAATGAACACACACGAGTGATTTTCTCAAAAGTAATCATTTGCGGAAGAAATGCTACAGAATAAACGAGTCTCAGAATTGTCTAAACGACTGGTTCCAAAACTTAAAATCCTAAAATTCGCTGGATGACCAAAATGATAATAATGCCTCAATTTCGCTCATTTTTTCCGCGTGTTTTGTTTGAATAATAGTAAGGTAATTTCTGAGAACAGCATTACCACAAGAATGAGTTGTTCGATTTTGTTAATTTTTTCTATAATCGAACTTTGGCAATATGAGGTCTTAGATGCATGGATTAATGTTCCACTCTTGGCACTCTCCTTGATCTTCTCCCACACTATCAGGAATAGTCTGTAAAGTAGATTCACTAATTCCAATGGCATGCTGAATATCAGCTGTTCATTCACCTCTTTCATAATATTTGGAAGCATCCATCTTAATCTTGGTGTCGATGACCTTATGCTTCTTCGCTCCACTGATACCAGGAGAACTTAAAAGCTGCTTTGGTGGCATGATGCAAGGGGCAAAACATGTGCAATTATTGACCTTGGTCCTGCTCCCAATGATGATGCTTGTCGATGGTCTCATTATTCCAAACATAAGCTCACATAAATAAAATAAAAAAAAGAAGTGTAAATGGACCACTCACATTATACTAAAAATAGCATTAAACACTCATGTTATGTGATGTTGGCAGTGAACTCCAGAAGTTGCTGATACTGTTACATTCTATAATTTTTCATTAATAAAATTAATCAAACTAACCGAGCAAACCTAACATAATTGGTATTACTTGATGAGAGTGGTCAGCTGGTTGTGTAGAAAACCCATGAAATTTATATTAATGTATCTACCAAGTAAAGATATATGTACTATAGAGATATGCTGCATTTGGTTTTATCATCTAGATTGTTAGATAATTGTGTGCAGATGTTAAAGGAAGAGGGTATGCTTTAATTTTTATGCAACTATTTTCAGACTATGGAGGAAAATCCACCAAAAGTGAACAAATGGGATGGAAATGCTCTCAAAAATGCCCTAGATGATGCAGTGAAAGATGTAAGTATAAATAACTTTGGGAAATTTGGCTGCTCGTGAGTGAAAACCACCGTCTTTTTTGCCTGGAAGTTATTTTCCATAATATAGAACAGTACAGGTACTGTGTTATATGTGAAAAAATAAAATAAATAAATCATGTAAAAGGCCAGTCCATCAAATTCGGTAGAAAAAAAGTTGAATACACTACCTGTTTTTGTATTATAATATAATTTATGGAAGGGGCATATTGTTACCTTGTCCATTCATCTCGTCTCCAACCTCACCTCTAGAATATGTACAGTAGTTTATTTTTTTTTTCCCCCCACTACTCCAGATATGAAAAGTAGGTCCATGTAACTGTTTTTCCTTGGTTAGGTTTTTGGTTGATCTTGTTTATTCAGCTCATTTTAGGTGGTCAATCATTTTTGATAGAGTACATGTACAAAGTACTGTAGGATGTCAGAGTTGTACATCAAACTAGTCTAAGCACATCTGTAAAAAAATTAATCTAAATAAAATGTTAGTCATATAAATTCCAAATTACAAACGATTTACCAGGATATTTATAAGGTTCTTATAATATTATGTACTGTACAGTATACTGTAGAGTATTGGCTGAAAATTTTCAAGTAATGCTATTTAATACAGATTAGATGATATTCTGTATATATCAATAAGCAGGGCAGTGATGATAAAAGAAAATATATGTAACAAGAATATACTGTAAATAAATTACACATTAACACTCATAAGCACTGCCTTATTTATAGCAACTACCCCTCCCACACATGGGCTTATGTTATTCTTGCATGGAAGAGCCACACTCATTTCTTCTTTGGATATATTTTTTGACAAACAATTATTTTTTACATATAAACAAACTACTGTATATTCTAGGCAATTGATTGTTTGTTCATATGAAATGATAAAAAAGTGAAAAAAGAAGAAATAATTTTTATGATGTAAGGTCATGCATTGCAGTTTACAATACAATTTTAGCCAACAAACAACCAAGTAAGGATAATAAGTGTTAGATAAAAGAATAAAGCATTTTTATGCTTTATACTCATTAATATTCATTCAATAAAAAAATCAATACAGGGTGTTTCTGGGTTACGAACGAGTTCCGTTCCTGAGTCGGAAATGTACAGTCGGCCACAAGAATAAGTATACACCTACAGTTCGTGTTTGAGACAAAATATCTGGTAACACTGTCCTGAACAGAACAGACAAAATTACAAAATGACCTGTAATTTGTTTTATTCCTACATATATGTTTTAAATACATTTGTTGTGAATGTTTTACTAGTGTCTTGTGTTTATATTACAAGTAATATATTGTATCCAGTGATAGTAAACTTGTTGCTGAATGAGATTGTAGTTATCGTACGGCTCCCTCCTCCTCCCCCACTTTTTCTCTTACCCTACTTTTTTTTTTACTGATGTTTGGCGTAATAAAGGAAGGAAGAGGAATAAATAGAAGAATAAAGAAGGAGAAACATAAAATAGTTAGAGATAACAGGTGGGGGGAGCTGAGTTTCATCATGCATCTGAATTCTCAGTTTCATCGTTACCAGACCATTTTCAGACGTTACAGCTACTGTACAGTGTGTATACTTATTCCTGTGGCCGACTGTACATATTGTAAGTCGGGACACACCCAATGTGCACTATATCATAACCTAAGTCCTTTTATACATCTCGAATCAGTTAATTTAAGGAAAAGGAAGAATTGAATGACAAAGTATAGTAAAGGAAAGTAAAAATTAAAGTTTAGGACTTACATTGAAACCAGGGCTGACTTGCATGTAGAGATGGGCATTTATAGGAGTGACAGGCTTTATTGGGATGGTTGAACTGAAAACTTCTTATCATAAATCTCTCTGCAGCATTGTAGGCATTCAGTAATACTTATATGAATCTTGGGGAATCTTGCTGTGTTGGTATCTTGCTGTTGAATTTTAAACAATCCTTTAATAAGCCTGAAACCATCTGCCATTTATTTTGTAATGAATTGCTTTGGTTCTGGAGTTTCAGCTTCCTCTACATCCTCTGACAAAATTGGCTTCTCCAGTTCAATCAGGTCCTCATTGCTTAATTCTTCAGCACGAGACTCAAGCAACTATGTGACATCCTCGTGAATATCAAACTGGAGTTGGTTCCCATGGTCTACCACTGTCTGTGTCACTTCCCCAACATCATTTTCAAAGCTCCTGAAATCGTGGACAAACTGTGGGCAGAGTTTTTTCAAACACCATTTGCCCTTACCTTGAACCAATTAAACCAGCCCCTACTAGCAACAAAATCTTCCCCATCACTTTCACCACCACTTTTAGCCTTCACGTCAGCTTGCAAGCTTCTCGCTTTTTCCATATCACTAACAATCTTTCCATTTCAATTAACAATCCACTTCTTTGAATTTTTATCACATTTGAGTGCATTGGTGTAGATCCTTTTACATGTTTCAAGAATTCTCTGTCTCTCAAAATTGTTCTGATCATTGACTGATTGAAGCCCAATGCTTTGCCATTGACTGAGGGTGTTTCGCCCTTTTCAGATAGTTTAATTACATTAACTTACACTTTCATTGTAATTGTTTTCCTTTTCTTGGATGCACGACTATCACTTGCATCAGGTTTGCGTTTTGGAGACATGATGAGGGCAAAAAAAGAGAGTTAATGAACAAAAAAACAACAGTTTGCACTTGATCACACTCGTTAATGCAGTGAGGGTAAAACTTACTGATGCTCCCCCAAAGCGCATGGCTGGGTGACTCATTACTCCCCACTCTGCCTCGCCGCTACGCCACACTAACTAATTCTCATATGTTAATTCTACGAACCAGTTTTACCTATGTCAGATTCTTAAAATAATTTACCTTATGGAACCTCGTTTGTATCGGTGGGTGTTCGTAAGTCAGGGACCCCCTGTATATATATTTGCTATATGGTTTGGCTGTTAGCAATTTTAGAAAAACAATTCCATCCTCACACTGTGTACTGTTCTGTTATACATACAATGTACTGAATTGTAACATACTGTACTATACAATAATAAATCTTTGTAATATTATAGGTACTGTATACAGATTTTGTAAAACTCTATTTTAAAACAATTTTACCTTTTGGTGTGATGGAAAATGCTCAGACGGTCATTGTATCCACAAAGGGGCATTTATTACTCAATCCACACTTGTGATGCTTGCAAGTTTGAACAAGTGAAATATTTTAAAATAAACATATAAACATTTTATAAACACTCAGACACTTATAAAACACTTCATCACTTTACAGATAGCTCAGACGCTTATAATCGCCACAGAAGAGCATTTTTATTACACATATTACACACAAGATGGTTACAAATTTAAATACTGTAAGTAAAATACTATATCATAAAATAAACAAAATCTCAAGTGTCAATCGGAATTGTTCAATTTTCTTTAAAAAAATCTCTTGAGTGACATTTTCTATGTCCATGCTTATTGGACGATGATGACACGTGATACACATCACTGTGTGCAAAAGTGTTTAGACCCCTCTAATTCATACTTCTGTATGTCAGAAACCCCCATAAGTAGGACAAGGTTTGGCTTAGGAGTGGTTGTGTGGAGTGGCAGTTGGGCAAGGCATCAGTTCCCATTTATTTGTTATTGCAACCACTTTTCGTTGAGCACCCTGGGGTTTTCTCGTATTTAGTGCTTTCCTGGTGTATTATTATGGCTCTTGAAGCAAGAAAAGGTAAAGCAACACCTCTGAGGATCACTGGGAGAAAAGAAATGGTGCTCAGAACTCTACCAATTGAAAAGGAATTGAAGATATGAGACAATCTATGCTGGGGCATTCATGAACATTATGTGTGTGAAGAGTTTTGGCTAAAGCAGACTAATTTTTATGACAACAGCTAGATTTAAGTGCATACTAAATATAAGTGTAATTAAATGTGTGAATATACATAATGTAAGTGTAAGCAGTCCCCATTGTCCTCCATCTAAAGATTCATGTTACAATAAAAATAAGCACAGTATGTTAACATTACAGTACAGTATTTTTCTTTATAGAAGGGATTTTTCTGCAAAATGATGGTTGAAAGAACCTAGTAGGAAGGTTTTGCTTAAGTTGGACAGCCTCGACCCCCTATATAATTCCGCTTAAAGAAGTCTTGCTGCAATGACAGTCATTATACTATTAGTGTGTACAATTGGCTTCAGGAAAGAGACCTCGGTAATTACCGGGTAATTTTCAGTGTAGTTTCTTGGTGTTGGTTCTCCCTTAATATAAGAAGAGGTGGTTAGTGACTTCAAATATTCAGAGCAGATTATAAGTATTGTACCCTGTATATTTTTGGGCTCTTTTGGGTGGGAACTCTTTATCTGTGATAAGGAAAAACCTGCTATTGAATGATTCACACACTGTATTTGTTTACATTTTAGGTGTTGCTGTCAAGATTTAGTTATGTTGAGAGCCATAAGCTGCTTGATGGTCGACTTATCATCTCATCTGTAGCAGTGGGATTCTCTGTCTTTGCTCTTATATGGGACTGGCTCTATCCGTTCCCACAGTCCAGGTAAGATATAGGATGTGAGTTAGTTTGTTTCTGGTTCTGATTTAGATTTTATTTGAATGAAATTTATGATTTTTTTTTTTTTGTACTTTGCCAAATAATGTACAGGTGTTAACCGTTATACGATGTACTGTATCAATATACTGTACAGGTGTTAACCGTTATACGATGTACTGTATATACTGTACAGGTGTTAACCGTTGTACGATGTACTGTATCTATATACTGTACAGGTGTTAACCGTTGTACGATGTACTGTATCTATATACTGTACAGGTGTTAACCGTTATACGATGTACTGTATCTATATACTGTACAGGTGTTAACCGTTATACGATGTACTGTATCTATATACTGTACAGTACTATCAATCAATTTTATGATGTTAAAACAGTACAGTAACACAATTTACCGCTGTGCGATGGCTATGATCAGATTTACGATGGTTGTGGCCTCTAATGTTTGTTTACAAAGCATGTGCTTGTCAGGTGTAGTGCTGACATATATATATATACTATATATATATACACACACACACACACACACACACACACACACACACACACACACACACACTATATACAGCTACTCCCCGACTTACGACCTAAGCGACTTACGACCACCTAGACCAGTGGTGCCAAACTCAAAACCTTTTGAGGGCCAAGTCTTATTTTAGTTACCCTCTTCAGGGCCAACATAAGTGCTATATCACATATTTGCAGGATTGAAGATTACAGCTTCACACATTGCCTTACCTGGCTTACCAGGAATACTGTACCTCATTTGGGTTTGTCTGATCTTAAGTATGTAAAAATCATTTTACTAAATAAACATGATTATATCTATTTCTTTCATAATTTCACGGGATGATAAATTTTACTGTCATCCCGCTGGCCACACCTGACCATCACAAGGGCCACATTTGGCCCACGGGCCATGAGTTTGACACCCCTGACCTAGACATACAACCGCCTCAGTCGTACCAAAATTTTGTCAAATTACGTATTTTCGAATCCCAACGTCAGTGATTATGCTGTGCACTGTAAAAAATTTTGTTTGTAATTCACTTTAAAATGGCTGGCAATCTTAAAAGTGAGAGTTTTGTGGTGCAAACACATAAAGGAAATATACATCTTTGCACGAGTAAAAGTGTAAACACCCACCCACCCCGTCGGCAAATGTTATTTGCAGATTTTTGGCTATTCGTGGCCATTTTGAGAACCTAGCCTCCACGAATTTTAAGGGCATGCTGTAATGGAAAGAAATGAACATTAGAGATGCATTCAGAATTTTCCATCACTTCGTATCGTGAATACAGTAATTCCAAATTTTCTAATTACGACAATACAGTAGTCCAGTACTGTATAGCATAACACTTTAGAATAAGAAAAACGAAGAGCACGAGAGTGTGTGTGTGTGGAGGCAGTGAGCTGTAAGTGTAACTGCGTCTCCCTCCTTCCCTTCCCAGATGCGAGTCATCTAGGTAACTGAATGACTGAAATGTTATTCTTTGTACATAAAATAATATACTGTACCAGTAAAAGTGAAGAATAAATAAAAATACTTGTAATACTAATGACAACCCCCCACACCACTACCTCCTCCCCCACTCTATTATAACTCCCTTACACATAAGAAATTTTTATTCCCTTTATGTTTTTTGACCTTGTAATAATTTTTATTTTTTATTTTTTACACATTCTGTATGAAAGAATGTGTGCATGTACCTGAGTAAAATTTTTTTTAGAAAATTGTGTACTGTATGTCTACCCTGCTCTGTGATAACTTCTGTACACGTAATAAATGTTTACTGTGTTTCTTTTATCTTTTTGGTGTTATAATACAGTATTTTTTTTTTTTTTACATTCTGAATGAAAGATTGTTTGTGTACGTAGCAAAGTAAAAAATAAATAAAATAAAAAATTATGTATGCCTACCCGAAATTACAAGATGAAAAATAACCGATCTGGGCGTTAATTTTGGCTCTTCAGGATCTCACGAACAGAACTTATTTTTCACCAGAGGTTATTAATATCGATGTATGATCAATCACCATACTATGGCTTTTTGAAGTCCCTAACCCCATCGTATAATGGTCAACACCTCTACAGGTATATAGTGCAAATTTTCGTATGAAGTAAAAAAAAAAAGGTTTGCGTATGAGTGCTAGACACGCAAGATACATATTTTGCAATGTCAGCGCGATCCCTTTTGTGTTTCAAGGAACCAGGATATAACATTGATCTACATTCTCCACACATTTTCCTGTGGCTTTTGTTGATTTCTCGTAAATCACAGTGATTTAATTTATTCATAACAGTGTTGTGAGAGTTTTGAACCCTGCCTCATATTGCTGGCAAAGGTGGAGGGGTGGGAAAACATGAAAAGTGCAAGGACATTGCACCATGTGATGGTAGTCTGGTGCCTCCTGATGCCTCTCCCTAGCAAAATATAAATTTTTTCACAACTTTTCTTTTATAACTATTTTCTAAATATAATGTGATGTATGAACATTTTCATTAAACGTGTACAGAAATTTTGTGTTCTACTCGCACTTAGGTATAGAAATCATTATTTTAATGTGATTACTCATATAAAACAGCTTGTAGATAATTTATTTACAATGCTAATACAACAAATCCCACCTTTTCATCTCAAATAGCAAGCTTGCTATGACTCGTTAACATGCTGATTAAGGATCTGTTGTTTGCACTTGGATATTGTATATCGGTAATTATTGTCCCAATGATGCCTATGTTTTTCAAAAGTCACTTTTTGGTGTTTCTGTGTAATTCAGGATGTACTTAAGTAATTAGATACATTAAGTTTTAATTCTGAGAGAAAAGCTGGTTTTGGCTATCTTAATTTCACCGATTTTGTTCAAAATCTCAATATACTGTACAGTATACACCACTGAACATGCTGATTAAGGATCTGCTCTCTGCAGTTCGATATCTGGATTATTTCTTTCCCACATTACACCTGAATATTTTTAATTACTTTCACAATGCTAATTACTTGCCACCTATGGGTTTTCAAGGTCACTTTTTTGTGTTTGTGTGTTGTACATGTAAAAAGTCTATAAATTTACGGGGACTCCCTCCCCCACTCTGTTGGCTAACTGCAGACCACATAAGAACTGTTTATTCCCTTTGTTTTTCACCTTATGATAATTATTATTTTTATTTTGTTTGCACATTCTGTATGAGCAATTGTGTGTGTGCATGTAACAGAGTAAAATAAAATGAAGAAAGTTACACACTGGGTACAGTATATCTACCTGAAATTACGAGTTGAACAATAACATGTCTCACAACTCAGCCTCACCCACTCTTAGTGCTATTGAGTGGCAAGTCAGCTGTGCAATTACATGCCATCTCCACAGATATTATTCCTCATTCCAGGATTTATTTTTAATTTTTTATATTTATTTTTACATTATACCCTCATGAATTCAACAAAGGAGGGGCTCAGGGTCACTCGAATTACTGAAAAATCCGAAGCTTGATAGACGGTGAGTGCTGGCAACATTGTTAGGGAGAGCGAGAATGCTCAGCTGTTTATGCCTGTAGCACTGTGCATTGTAGGATTTATTGGGGATCTCGCTCAAGCTTGGAAAGAAGTTTCATTTCTACTCATGAATGGTTACTTTTGAAGGTAAGCTAATAAAAATCATTTATATGTTAAAATTATTTATTTTTATAACTTGTCTCGGTGAACCACTTTCTCTGAAATTAGCGTGCAAGTGTGTGGTTAGGGAGCCCGGCCAATGATTAGGTAGCTTTCACTGCATCAACGCACCGACACCAAATGACTTCTAATTACCTTAAATAGATTAATTAAATAATTTTATAAAATAATGTTTAACAAATGTTTCTAAGGTATATATAAATGTTAAAGAATATCAAATTAAAATTTGAGTGCCATTTATGGTGTGGGGATCGTAATTAGACCCTAATCCTATTAATTCTTATGGGAATTAATTCCCCTTTATAGGGGGTTTCAGTTTAAGTGGCTTTTTTCTGGTCCTTACTAACCACTTATAACGAGGACCCCCTGTATGTGTATGACCCCTTTTTATACTAAGGTAACCGACGTACAACTTCAGAGTTCGCTGTGCCACTCCTTATAAGTCCAATATCTTGCATTTTTCTTCAAAAATTCTCAGTTTGTGTTTTTTCTTTTTCTCACTTGCCACCACGAGCACTGACACTAATTTTCCTCTTAAGGGCCATGATTGCAGTAAAATTCACTAGTAAAGATAAAGTTAGCCAGAACAAACTCCTGAGAGATATTCACGCAATCAGTGTGAGTGAGAGAAGGACCCCTGAGTTATGTTATGGTTATTTTTCAACTCCTAATTTTGGGTAGATACTATATAATGTTCGTAATTTTCTTCATATACAGTTTTTTACTCTTACATGTGCACACAAGCTTTCATACAAAATGTGCAAAAAAATTATCATAAGGTCAAAAACTAAAGGTAGTAAACATTTCTTCGTGCACCAGAGTTAGCTTTCGTCTTTTTAGGGAGTGCCCTTTCCTTGAAGGAGCAGGAAGTCGGCAAGTTCTTGCAACACCTACTTCTGCATTTAAGTCACTCAACCTCTGGCCCTGCTGTGAATGATGGCTATTGAGTAATTTATTGGTGTGCTTGTTATATACTGTACTGTACACCCAATAAAAAATTATTCGGCACCCGCGTCATATTGTATCACGCCGTAAAGGTGCCGAATAATATTTTTTGGATGTACATGATATTTGTACACACACACACACACACACACATGTATACAGTACATGCATGTACACCCACTAAAAAATTATCCCGCACCCTTACGGCATGATACAATATGACACGGGTGCTGAATAATTTTTTTAGTGGGTGTACATACCTAATGTTGCTGGGCTAACTACAGTATGTAGGTCAGCACAGAATTGGTGGGTACACTACAGATCTTTCCTTGTCTCAACTTGGGTTATGAAATGGAATATCCAGGATCGATCCTTAAATTTTTTTTTATTGATGATTATACAGGTACAGTATTCTTAAACATTAGTGTTGGTATTTTCAGAAGTGTAATGTGTGTGTGTGTAGTGGCCTACTTCATCATGATGGGAGTGTTGACATGGTACACTACTTACCTGGAGTGTGGCATCTTTTGCACAGCTCTCAACAAAGACGCTGCTGGCATCGACCCGGATGATGTGTGGAATGCTTCATCTTCTCTCAAGAGGTAGGCATTGAACTTTCTTCTCAAGAAGTTTATTATGTTTGATGCATCATAATATCACAAAAGTACCAAAGGGTGCTTTAAACACTGGGAAAACCCTCCATTCCAAGGAGAAAATCAGGTGCCAGGCGAGTGGATGGCTTAGCTGTTTAGATTGCTAAGTTCATATTCTGCTGCCATTGTAGAAGGTTGTTTCCTAGCTAACTGTTGTTTTTGCATACAATTTGTGTTGCGCAGTGCTGTACCTTACTGTACCAATGTTAAGACGTAAAAAAGTGAGAACAGTTACATAAACTGTACATTCAGTAAGTGTCCCATATGTACAGGAAAAGGGAAATATTGGAGCACTTTAGCTTTCATATTTATTCAAGACAACTTCTCTTCATGAGACCCATTAATCCCCCACCCTACCTCCACTGCAAATGAGAGGAGCTTATATGCAATGCATGACCTGACATTGCATCAGGTCAAGTCACTAACATTAATACTCACTAATCCCCTACCCCTACCTCCATTGCAGGTATTAAGATGTAAGAAGTGATTACAGTTACATATACAGTAAACCCTTGCCATTCACAATTTTACGGTTTACAGTTCATTCCCTAATAAAGAAGAAAAATATTGGTTGAAGATATAAAAAAAAGTAGTTGTACATAAAAAGTTCCTTCCCTTCTCATAATCATCCTTTGGGTGACACCATTACACCAATTAGTAAATATATAAATATGTAAATAAATAACACAGGCAGATGCCAGGGCTTGCTGGCTGGTCAGCTGTTTCCATAAGTAAACAAATTAAATAACTCATCTGGGGTTGAGTGTGGGATTACTTAACAATAATATTTCATTAACCTGGCACCAAATGAACATAAATAATATGGGAATTATGGTGAAATTGCAAACTGTTATAAAGGGGTGGGAAATTTCCGTTGAGTCCAGTCCAGCCACCCATACTCCGTCACACACAACTCCCTTTCCACTTAATTTTTTCTTATTTTATACTTACTGTATAGTACAGTATATTGTATGATTACAATGTTTTATTAATGTTTTTCATCATTGTACGTGTATTTAAAGAAAACTTACTGAAATATCATACTGTATACCTGTATGTCGTGTTTATGGGTGCCTCAAGTATCTCAGACATAACGTACAAACTTGTTCAGTACACCTTATAGTATAATATAGTACAGTATATACTGTATTGAATATTGTTGTAAGTATATTTTATTGTTTTTTTAGTGTTTTTCACCATTGTATGTGTATAACGATTTGCTTCTTAATGGCACAAATGTAACAGTATGCTTACAGTAATGGGGAAAACATAATATCTCTACCTTTACCAACTGTGTATCTGTTGAGGTGACTTTTTAAATGAATATAACAGTTACTTGTGAAACTTTGTATATGTAACAAACTTCCTGGGTTATCACCACTTGTAACAACCACTTGTGAAGCATTACCTTATATTTTAGACATAGTAAAATATAGATAAAAGATTTGGATCTTCTGTAGTGAAATCATATATTTCCATTTGTTGTATTTATTATAAAGAGTTATATGTACACTTTCAAAGGAATATTACAGTGCGTAAATTACTGTAGCTATGAGTGTTAAAATGGCGATGAAGGCTATGTTAAATAGCTCTGCTAAGTACGTCCTGTTGATGAGATAGTTGAGTGAGGTGAATAGGAACCCATTGAGGAAGAAAGGAAATATATCCAACGCCTCCCTCGAGGGAATAAACCATCACGATGGCTCTCAATAACATCTTTCTCTAGTCAGGATTATCAAACTACTGCCGCAATAGGTGGCCAGAGGCGGTTACTTAATGCTTTACTCAGCACTAAGTGACGTGACTTCCCATGGGCACATAACACGTGCTCTGAACATGCTACCTCATAGCTAGTGGAAAGTTACAGGGGGTGATAGAGTATATACGTCTAATGTAATTAACCCTTTTATATAAATACTTCTGCCTATAAGACAGGGGCTAATACATGTGTATTTAAAGAAAAACATACTGAAATACCATATGTGGGTGTTTTTATGGGTGACTCAAGTAACTCAAACACCAATACAGTACTAAGGCCTTTAATACTGGGTTGTGACTATTAAGGGGTCCATGGAACCCACGCGAATAACGTATCAACTGTTATTGCTGTACTGGCATTCAGCAGAGTGGACAGTGTACCTATTGTAGACTCAAGACTACAGCATCTGCTGGTAAGTACAGTACCGCCATCCCCTTTGTGCGAACTCAATCAGTACAGTAAAACTTCAAAAATCTGATCCTCCTGAATATGTTGGTATCCAAGATTCAAGTGGAAAAATCCTGCCATGTGTTACTCATCTTCTAAAATCTCTGACAATTGCTACTTGCATTTTCTGGGTCGTGTGGTCACATTCAAACTGGCGCCGTTGCGAAATGCACGTGTTTGTATTCAAATTCATTTTTATATTATAAGAAGATTCATTCTATTAATGGCATCTCTTAAGCAACTAAGTGCTGCCTGTAGTGCTGCAAAAATGAAGGATGTTATGCTTACAGTATTGTAGGAAGTGGAAATACAGGATATTAATAAGGGTGTCTATTCACTTTCTTCAAATGGAATATGGTGTTGGAAATACAACAGTACAGTACCTGTATATGACATTAAATAGCGAGAGAATTTGTTTTATATTAATTTGAAATCATGATAAATTACAAAGTAAAATCACTTCATCCTCAACAATAAATGTGATTCAGCAGGCTTTTAGCCAGCTGCTAAACCCTGTGATATGAAAAATCTTTTATGTAAACACTGAGCAGTAAATGCTTATATTTTAACACATTAACATATATTTTTTCTTCAACATTACCATTCACTAAATTTTCAAAAAAATTATCCCATCAGCTCCTCCTCCTCTCTCCTCTCCTCCTCCTCCCTCTCCTCCTCCTCCTCCTCCTCCTCCTCCTCCTCCTCCTCTCCCTCCTCCCTCCCTCCCTCCTCTCTCCTCCTCCTCCCTCCTCCTCCTCCCCTCTCCTCCTCCCCTCCCTCTCTCTCCCTCCCTCCCCTCCTCCTCCTCCTCCCTCCCTCCCCTCTCCTCCTCCTCTCCCTCTCCTCCTCCTCTCCTCCTCTCCCTCCCTCCTCCTCCTCCTCCTCCCTCCTCCCTCCCTCCCCTCCTCCTCCCTCCCCTCCTCCTCCTCCTCCCTCCTCCTCCTCCTCCCTCCCTCCTCTCCTCCTCCTCCTCCTCCCTCCCTCCCTCCCTCCCTCCCTCCTCCCTCCTCTCTCCCTCCCTCCTCCTCCCTCCCTCCCTCCCTCTCCTCTCCTCCTCCTCCCTCCTCCTCCTCCTCCCTCCTTCTCCTCCTCCCTCCTCCTCCTCCTCCTCCTCCTCCCTCCTCCCTCCTCCCTCCTCCTCCTCCTCTCCCTCCTCCTCCCTCCCTCCTCCCTCCCTCCCTCCCTCCCTCCCTCCCCTCCTCCCTCTCCCTCTCCTCCCTCCTCCTCCTCCTCCTCTCCCTCCCCCTCCTCCCTCCCTCCCTCCTCCCTCCCTCCCTCCCTCCCCTCCCTCCCTCCCTCTCCCTCTCTCTCCTCCCTCCTCTCCCTCCCTCCCTCCCCTCCCCTCCCCTCCCTCCCCTCCCTCCCTCCTCCTCCCTCTCCCTCCTCCTCCTCCTCCTCCTCCTCCTCCTCCTCCTCCCCTCCCTCCCTCCCTCCTCCCTGTCCCTCCTCCCCCTCCCTCCTTCTCCCTCCCCTCCCCTCCTCCCTCCCTCCCTCCCTCCCTCCTCCCTCCCTCCTCCCTCCCTCCCTCCCTCCTCCCTCCCTCCTCCCTCCTCCCTCCTCCCTCCTCCTCCTCCTCCTCCCTCCCTCCTCTCCCTCCCTCCCTCCTCCTCCTCCTCCTCTCCCTCCCTCCTCCTCCTCCTCCCTCCTCCTCCTCCTCCCTCCTCCTCCCTCCCTCCTCCCTCTCTCCCTCCTCCTCCTCTCCTCTCCTCCTCCTCCTCCTCCTCCTCCCCTCCTCCTCCCTCTCCTCCTCCTCCTCCCTCCTCCCTCCTCTCCTCCCCTCCCTCCCTCCCTCCTCCCTCCTCCTCTCCTCCTCCTCCTCCTCCTCCCTCCCTCCTCCCTCCCTCCTCCTCTCCCTCCCTCCCTCTCCTCCTCCTCCTCCCTCCTCCCTCCCCTCCTCCCTCCCCTCCCTCCCTCTCCTCCCTCCTCCTCCCTCCCTCCTCCTCCCCTCCTCCTCCTCCCTCCTCCTCCTCCTCCTCCTCCTCCCTCCCTCCCTCCCTCTCCTCCCTCCCCTCCTCTCCCTCCCTCTCCCTCCTCCCTCCTCCCTCCCTCCTCCCTCCCTCCCTCCTCCTCCTCCCTCCCTCCTCCCTCCCTCCCCTCCCTCCTCCTCCCTCCCTCCCTCTCCTCCTCCCTCCCCTCCCTCCTCCCTCCTCCCTCTCCCCTCCTCCCCTCCTCCTCCTCCTCCCTCCCTCCTCCCTCTCCCCTCCCCTCCTCCTCCTCCCTCCTCCTCCCCTCCTCCCTCTCTCCTCTCCTCCCCTCCCTCCTCCTCTCCTCTCCCTCCTCCCTCCCTCCTCCCTCTCCTCCTCCTCCCTCCTCCCTCCCTCCTCCTCCTCCTCCTCCTCTCCTCCTCCTCCCTCCTCCCTCCTCCTCCTCCCCTCCTCCTCCTCCTCCTCCTCCTCCTCCTCCTCCTCCTCCTCCTCCTCCTCCCTGCCTCCCTCCTCCTCCCTCTCTCCTCTCCTCCTCCTCCTCCTCCTCCTCCTCTCCTCTCCTCCCTCCTCTCCTCCCCTCTCCTCCTCCTCCTCCTCCTCCTCCCTCTCTCCTCCTCCTCCTCCTCCTCCTCCTCCTCCTCCTCCTCCTCCTCCTCCCCTCCCTCCTCCCTACTCCCTCCCTCCTCCTCCTCCTCCTCCTCCTCCCTCTCCTCCTCCCTCCTCCCTCCTCCTCCTCCTGCCTCCTCCCCTCCTCCCTCCTCCTCCTTCCCTCCTCCTCCTCCTCCTCTCCCTCCTCCCTCCTCCTCCCTCCTCCTTCTCCTCTCCTCCCTCTCTCCTCCTCC